TGTCCAATTTCCTTCCGTTTGGGGTATTAGTTGTGTAACCCCATGATTGATGTTGACTGTTAAAGTCTCCAAGTAGCAATGTTGCAGCTCTATTGTTGTCTTTCATTAGCTTTCTTAATAGCTTGGTCTCTGCTTTGTACTGTCGTGGTGTCCAGTAGCAGTTAATAACAAGGATCTCTGAGGCGGAGTCTGGTGAGTCCGGATGCTTAATCTTGACCGCAACTGTTTCTTGTGTTGTCGTGTTGAGATGGGTAGTGTCCAGTTGGATGGAGGCCAGACTTTTGGATACTAGAGTAACTGCCATGGATTTGGCTTGGGTTTGGTCTCCCTTCTTGCTGGTTATGCTTGGTTGCGCGTATGAGTCATAGCCAGGTAAAGAGACTGGCCCGTTCGTTTCCTGCAAGGCTATGATGTCGGGTTTGAACTCTAGTGAATTGAGATGCTGTATGAATATTCCTCTCTTGCGGCGGATACCTCTGCAGTTCCACTGAAGTATATAAACGTGTGATGTGTGTTTTCGAGGATGAGTATTAGTTTCCGTTGGTGAGTTATTCATCGTTGATGGTTCCGTCGTCGTTCTCAGGTAATGCGGCCAGAGCTTTGTGGGGCCTGTTCGGTGAGAGCGCGTGTCTTTTCCTGGTGATTTGGAGGTTGGCAATAAGCTGCTCGTTTTTGATCGTGGCGGCCTCTATGTCCTCAACTTGTTTGGATATCTGGGTCAGGCTGTTGGCGATCTCTTGTATGAGGTTGTCTCTGGCTTGATTACTAGCGTTGTTTGCCTCTATCGAAGTTTGGACGACGTTAATGAAAGAGTCGAGTTTGACCAGAATGTTGTCGACCTTTGTCTCTAGGCTGTTCATTTTGGTTTCAAGTGCGTTAAGGCGTGCCTCGTGCGTGCTTTTTGTGTGCTGGGGAATTTCTAATGCGTTGTTTCTTGATATAATCCCTTCTTTTATGGCTTCTGCAATGTTTTCTGTTAGTGGATTTTCTCGTGCAATCTGTAGGGCATGAGCATAGCTGCACGACGGGTGCTCTAAGTGTCTCACTTTGGTGTTCTTCTGGTGTGGCTTGTTGCCCTGTTCTTGTTCATGTGTTGGGGGGTTTGTGGTTCCCGGTCTTGAGCTGGGGGTGTGCGCCTCCTTGGGGTAGGTGTTTCTTGTATGATGCATGCCAGTTTCTCCGACAAACTGAGGGTCGATTGGTTTTTGTTTGGGGTTGTTGGCGCCAGCTTGAGATCCTCTGGGTGGAATCTCCTCACTTTGGAGCAGGGAGAAGCGATTTGACGTCGGCAGCTTTGGCCATTTTTCGTAGTTGTTGGAGAATCCTGCTAGCGTGGAGTGGTTTCTTGTGGAGGATCCGTTGGAGATTTTCCAGGCGTTGCGGCGTTCGATTGCGGCCTGTTGGACGGCTTGGTCAGCTTGCTGTCTTCTAGGACATAGGGGAGAGTTGGGACGGTGTTCGCCTTGACAGTTAACACAGTGCGGTTCACATTCGTGGGGGGTCTGCGTGGGGTCCTGGTTTGAGGGGAAGCGTTTGCTGCATCGGGGGCATGTGTTGTGTGCAACTTTGAATGGGCAGACGTCCGCACGGTGGCCTATATCGTAGCAGTGCGCGCACAGGGTGCTGCGTGGTCGATGGGGATACAGACGGTAGGCGACTCGGTTAACAAATGCATATCTGGGTAGCCTGGGTCCCTCTACCGTGATGAGAATGGTTTGAGACTCCCCAATCCTTCGTGCAGCAAGGAGCTTGGCTTGTTCAAGAATGAGAGAGTCTTGGATGTACTGGTCGGAGTAGTGGGGCCTGATGCCGTGGATAACCCCCCTAGCGTTGTTTGGACTGTTGGCCTTGTAAGACTTCACATGAAGCTTGACGTTTTGGTAGGTTAGCGAACTGAGCGCTAGGATTTTATTTTCGGCGGAAGTGCGGTACGTGTCGATGGCAATTAGGTTTTGGAGGGAACGTACCTTGACATAGGTATCCCCGATCTCTTTGGGTGTGAGGCGCGCTGCCTCCAGAATTGCGGCTCCTAGGTTATGGGCGTCAATTTTTTCGAGGTGTATGGCCGACCCAAAGCGGATGATGATGGTGGCCGCTTGAGAAGATCGGGGTGCAAGACCAACTGTCTGCCATGATCCGTCATTTTCGTTGAGATCATCGATTTCCATGGTGTGAAGAGCAGAAGCGACAGCCAGGTTGGGCGAGCTCGAAGCGCTCTTTGACCTAGCCGGCGCTAGGCCAAGCGCCACCTCTTACTTCCGTGTTGGAATATTCTTCGTAAGAGGGCGAAAATTCTACGTGGTTGGTCAAAAATTTACTCACGTGTCTAAGACGTGTTCCGTAGATAATTAACGGCTGTTTCAATGCGATCCAGTGACTGAAACCGGTGAAAATCCAGTGTTTTGGTGGAGCTCAATGTCAGCTCGTCCGAACACTTGAAACTTCGTCTTCTTCCTCCTTGTATTTTGAGCTTTGTGCCTGTATTTTTCGTTATAAATGGTCCACTCTGGCAAGTGCTTGGAAAGCAGCCAACGGAGACCACGTGACAGCCATCGCAGTCGTGATGTAGTTCGTCTCGGGACGAGCAAAGCTGCGGCAAGGCTGGTGTCGAGAGGATGTCCTAGTCGTTCCAGCCACTGAAGCGGCTGCTTTCGTACGAATTTTGAGTGACGGGGTAATCTTCTACAGGCCTGTAGAGGGACAATAACGACTTCTGGGACAGACAAAAGAGATTGTCAGTGAGAGGGGAGTTCCTCCTTCCCCTCTTCTCTCGTGGTGGCAGGATGCGAGACAGTTATCGTCACTACCTGTCAAGGTTCTTAGACTGGCATTACAAACGAGGCGTTAGCGACATCCTTCAATGTTTGTTGCTAATCATTTAATTAGTTTAAAATTCCTTTTCGTGTTTTTTTCAACAAGAGATTGCTGTGTGTGATGTGATACCGCTCCTCTGAACATGTAAAGACGAAAAAATAATCTCCAAAATTTTGTTGTAGTGTCTTTTTAATGTTGCCTTTCAAATAAGGGTTTGTCTACATTTGTTTGTCTCTGGCTGAGTTGGTTTTTTTGTTATTGTATATTTTGAAAATGTGTTGTTTTTTGTTGAAATTGTGTGTACTTGTACATTTTCCCTTGATTCTGTCGATAAGATCAAATTGTGTTTATTAATTGTAAGTCATGCTTCAGTCATGTTAATTCGTCAAGTGATTATCTGCACGAAGGTGACCTGCAGTGACATTTTGTTTGCTGTTGCATTTTCTGAATATGGCATTTGGAGCTACTTTGCTGTATTTAATAGAAAATAAATGGTTTCTGTACTAAAATGCCAGATGTGAACTGACAGCAATAATATTGTGTTTGCCTGTTTTCAAGTAAAAAAAAAGAAAAGAAAAGAAGTAACTGACGATGCCTGAGCACTTGCGCGTTTGTGAAACTGCTATAGTCCATTGCAACTCAAGAAGGTAGGGCGAGTGGAAGGAAGGCCGGGGAGGAGGAGGCAGACGAAATGCTATGTAGTGGTGGAGGAGGTTTCCCCCTCTCCTCTCCAGCATTCCGTCTGCTTCCTCTTCCCTGACTTTCCTTTCTCTTGCCCTACCTTTTTGACTTGCAACGGACTATAAAAACAATGTCTCCGCACGGAATGAGAGAGGGGGAGGGGGAGATAAAATTGGAGAGAGAGAGGTGAAAGAGGGCAATTGGAGAAGAAGGGCAGTGTGGAAACAGAAGGTGGCAGCAAATTCCTTGCCCCCCGCCCCTCAGAAAATTGAAAATTCTCCGCCTATGGTGTGTGCAAACCTGATTCACGCCTCGTTTTTTTTAACTGCAACGAGACGGAGCTCGTTACAAACATGCTCGACTGGCAAGTGCAAAAGCAGTACGCTTACAGCTGCCACTGGGATCCTGTCGGGGGCAAGGTGTGACTTCCCTCGTTAGAAGCAGAATAGCAGTGCAATTAGAGTGACCACCCGTCCCGCGACTCGCAGGACTGTCCCGCATTGAGGGCTCGTGTCCCGCGAGAAATTGCCGCATCTTCAAAATGTCCCGCATTTCATACTGTCGTAAAATTCACTCTGCAACTTATGGTGCTGCCGAACAGCGAGGCACGGGGAAGCGCGGAGGTTGTTAGTAATCGTTTGAATCGCAATGATTTTCTATCCAAGCGATGCGGGAAGCGACCATCATTCTTGCAGGAGGTCTGACAAGCATGCGCTGTTGTGCCTCTCCCCTTGGTGTCAAAATATGGTTAAGAGAAAATTGTTCGCCAAAAGTTTAAATATAAATTATTGTAATTATTTTCAAGTCGCTGCAACTCACAACGATCAAGAAAGAACCTAATGTTAAAAATTTGTGTTGGGCCATGTTGATAAAAATAGCGTTGACAGGAACCAGTAACCCGAGAAAGATTTACTGTTTCTTATTTCCATTTGATGCATTGATTTCTGCTGCAGTCGATTTTTATGTTTTCAACTTCGACACATTTAATAGCACATTTATCATAAAAATATACATATCACAAGGAGTGAACATTATCTGAAGTTAATCGCTGCTATACAATTTGCAGGTGTATAAACAGCACAGGTTATAAAATGTGTTTACGAAGCCTAGGTTTGTGGCCATGAATGACGCCGTGCCTTTCTGTTGGAACCACTATCTGCACACCTCTAGAAATATTTGATTTTGCAGTTCCCCGTATTTTAAAGCCACGACTGCATATAACTAGCTAGAGTCAGACAGAATGAGGACGGCCGGGGATCCTCCAGTTGCCGCACCTCCGGCGTGAGTTTTCTATATTGGGTAACACTTGGGCCTCCCGGGAGCCTCGAGCATGCACGTGCAGTCCAAGCACATTGAAGAACACTGAGGACGTGCTAGAGGCATCTGAAAGAGATGCCGTCAGCAACTATAGCTTTGTGAGAAACAAGTGCTGCAGAACAGGTGCTACAGAGCATCTCGTAAGGTATCGTAGCAGGAACGGTGGACGACCCCGTTTTTTTCGGCAGGTACCCTCCCAGCCGGTGGCCCGTGCTGGCGTTCACGGGGGCCCCCGCGAGCTTCCCCGTGCAGGAGGAGAACCTGCCCCTCCAGGCACACCTGGCCTGGAGCGACTCGGTGCTGCACCGGGCCAAGCACTTCGTGACGTCCACCCTCAAGGCACCCTTCGTTGGAATCCACCTGCGCAACGGCATCGACTGGGTCAGACCCAAGCCCCTCCCTTCTTTAAATGCGACGGAATTTCTGGGGTCACCCCTCGTGGATATTTGTTCGTTGAGGCTAGTTACGGCCATGTAGGCTATTTACGGCCACGTCTCGTTAATACGGACCGCATTGATACGGACACCCCACCATGGAAGCAAAATTTCCGGGCACGAGGTCGTGCATGCTCTCATGTGCATGGACGTCTGGGTGATCCAGTGCGGGGGTTCAGCTGCGTCGGGTAGAAGTTTCTGAATGCAAAAACGGGAAAGACAAACCCAAAGATAGGTAAATTAATACGCATATCCCCATTTCAACGGGACCAGCATTTGTGAATGTGACAGCCGGGACAATCTGTCGACGGGGTTCTACTGTGCTTTTTTTCCACCAAATATTTTTAGCTTCTGTCAATAGTGATTTTCCTGTTGTATCGACATAAGGCCAGCCCTTCCTTCATTCGTGCATTTGCCTTTTTCTTTCTTGGTAACTATTTCTTTCAGCAGACTTCCTACCAAAGCGGATATTTATTGTTACTTTGCTTACCACTCGGGGCAACATTTTCAGAATATCAAATTGAGGGGACACAGTCTTTTGAATGACACATGAGCAAACGCTTAGGGAAGAACCCCTGTTTCCAGTATCAGCCATTGGTTCTTCACGACTAATACTAATCAGTCCTGCTGCTTGGGTCCCAGCATTGTTTGGGCACTGTGGCGAGTCCGACAGGCCAGATGGGCCATTTTAACGAAGAATCTTTAAAGGCTGTGATTACAAAGGTCAAAAAGTTTGATGCAACAATACGAGAATGTGTAACACTGATTTCAAAGAAAAAATCAGGACAAAAAATGAATAAATTAATAGAAAGAATGTTTGTAACATTCTCCGATGAGAATCAACCCTAGGACACCAAAACTCTGAGTCCGACAGTCTACCACTGTGCCAAGGGGAGACTTGTGAAATGTTAGTTACTTTAATATGCCAAGGGCAGGAAGCACCTAGGCGCAACCCTGTGGCTATACACATGAATGTATCACATGATTGGACTTCATGACAATATTTAAAAGACCTGTGGGAGAGGTAAATCTTAAAGGCAACAATGTGATATGGTCATATCGTTAGTGATAAGTACAGTCGAATCTCGTTAATTCAAACACGCTTAATTCAAACTTTCGATTTATTTGAACTGACGCTGTGGTCCGGTCCACACTATATGTGTTTCAATGTGTGAAAACGCCCGGTAATTCTAACGTCTAAGCGTTCTCGCCGGTTAATTCGAACATCCCGTGCCGCTGACCATGCTCCAAGGAGCGGGCTAACTCACGCAATAGCGCCTCCGACCCGGCTGTGTGGCCGTGCTACGCCGTGCGCCAGCTGCTACTCCCGACTTCAGTTTTAAGTAACTGTGACAACTGATGACGTGGTGGCCTTGAATGCTGTGATTTGCGGTGTGGTGCTGGCAGTGGTGGTTGTCGTTTTCTCTCTTCCACGGTGACGGTGCTGCGCCACTGCTCTTCGGCGTGTTTTCATTTGGTTTTCGGTGGGAGCGCAACAGTTACGTTTCTTGCCTTGCACTTGCGCGTTGCTGCGCTTCGGCATGTTTTTGGCGGGAGTGCGACAGTTAGGTTTCTTGCCTTGCACTCGCGCATTGCTGCACTTCAGCATGTTTCTGGTGGGAGTGCGACAGTTATGTTTCTTGCCTTACACTCGCGTGTTGCTGCTCTTCAGCATGTTTTCAGTGGGCGTGCGACTGACGTTATCTGGATTCCAAGCGTCATGAATAACTGACGCTGAGATCATTCAGGCTACGTGCTTTCAACAGGCGACATCTGAAGACCGTTCAACCCTCAGTGGCGAAGATTCCGATGCCAGCGAAGAAATGTCCCCACCTAGTGCAACTGATGTAGCATCGGTGCTGGGCACAACTGCGCGCTACTGCTCGTGCCAAGAGAATGCTGATGCCACGTTAGTGCTAGTCTCCAGCTCCAAGCAATATTTGTTCATTCACGACTTCGGAACGCGCGTGCACAGGCATGCATCACAGGTTACTTCAGTTGGTGATCGGTGTAAATAAATGTCCCGGAACTCATCACTCGTGTTAGCTCAGTGCACATGCGCCGCCCAATGCAGCGCTGCACGTAAGTATCCATTTAATGAGCTTTCTTTAATTCAAACTCCGTTCAATTCGAACAAATTTTCGGTCCCCCTCAAGTTCAATTTAACGAGATTCGACTGTACACTCCTCCACCAAAATGGTACGGTGATAATTAATAGGTTTACTTTATGCTGAAAGAAAGAAGAAATTGAAAAATGGTTGTTGTAGTCGAGATCAGGAATGCCAACTTGAGGTTTCTTTCCACTAGTTGGCGGTCGTTCAGCTTTGTCAAATCAGGCGATTTGACGTCGGAGAACGAATCAAAAGATCTGTGGGTGAGTGGTGAAGCATAAAGGCGACCTTCAGACAAGATTATGCAACTATGTTGCATGATTTGACATTACGAAAAGGTTCAAGAAACAACACATTCTGTGTGTACTGACTGTATTTGTAGCATCGAGGTAAATAATGCTTTTTATAGGCCCAGGCTCTTTGCTTTGTGGAGGCCCGAATGTTTTACGGATGTCTTCTGTACCCCGCAGGAACGTGCCTGTGAGCACCTGGAAGACAGCCCGCTGCTCTTCTCGGCTCCCCAGTGCGTGGGCTACTCTGGGGAGAAAGGCCCTCTGCCCAGGGAGGCCTGTCTGCCCCAGGGGGACACGGTGCTGGCACAGCTCAAGCGCGTCGTCAGGGCCCTGAAGGCACGCACTGTCTTCGTGGCCTCGGACAACGACCACATGCTGCCGGCCATCAACAAGGCTCTGGAGCCACTGCACGTGCGTAGCGCACCTCTGAGGGGTGACGGATGTTTGGCGCTACGAGCTCTAAAATGTGTGGACCCTGAGGAAATTTGTTAGGTCAAAATGAGACGTCTAAAAACCCCTTCAGGTGAAGAAGGGACTTTGAAGAGCCCCTTATGTTCAAAGCTATCTTTAAAAGCCCCTTTAGGTCCAGAGGGGACCTCCAGGAACCCCTAATGTCGAGGTGAACATTGAGGAACCCCTTGCTGTCAAAAAAGAACCTTGAGGAACCCCTTAGGATCAAAAGTCTCTTATGTCCCAGGGAGGGACTCTTTAAGGTCAAAAAGCTATCTTAAGAACTTCCTAAGGTCCAAAAAATATCTTGAGGATCCCTTGAAGGTCAAAAAGAGGCCTCGAGGAGCCCCTTAAAAAACACTGCAAGAAAAAAAAAAACTTTTTTAATGAGCATAGATGGGACATACAATATTTTTAATATATTTTCCACAAAAATTTTTTTTTTTTGCGCAGTTTTTGTTGTTAGATGCGATTTAGGTGCAGAAGGTGGAGGTTGCAGCCCGCTAAGCCCCGCCCCGTGCTTGCAAGGTGCTTACATCTCTCACTGGCTGGAGAGATGATTGATGTGTAGAAGGTTGTTTGTAAATTTGTACCTCCGTGGCGAAATAGCATTTTAATTTACTATTCTTTTATGTTTGAGAAGCAAATAATGAAGATGGAGTCATTATTGTTTTTAAGTGTACTATTCTGAGATTGCTTCTCCTGCTTTGGTTTGAAGCATTAACAAATATGGCTGCCGGCGTCTGCGGAGTGCTTAACAAGTGAAGCTCCTTGAGCTCGATAAGCCAACAACAAACAAACCGTCGTGATTGTGACCATAGTCTCAATACCAAGAAGATACCTACACAGGTAAGAATTTTAGAGCCATTTAATTCGAGGCAATCGGGCATTCGGCTCGCATCAAGTTTGTCTAGGTATGTTCCTGTCATTGCTTCGAAAGGCAAGCCTTTAAGTCTTGCAGTGCACCTGGCCTACCAAAGCAAATATTTTTATGTCGCATTTTAATTATGCATCATGACGCTCACCCACCTTGCTTGCGGATGCCATATGAAGAAAAAATAACATGAACACTAAAGCTAGGAAGACTGCATATTTATTTTGTTGATTTTTTTGTTCTCTCGGTCGCTTATTACGCGTATAGATAGATGCTGACAGATGCTTGTATTGGATCGTGGCTCGTGCATGATGGAACATTAGAATGCCGCTTTCGTGGTCGCGTTTTCAAAGCGTTGCAGAAGTTTTTAGATGGGGGATGAATAGCAGACGGACGACGGCAAAAACAGACGCCAATGCGCAGCTTTCATGTCTATGTCTCGTGGCATTGCAGGCGACGATAGACAGGAATGAAATAGCAGACGATGCCGGAGGCTGCCGCTTGTCTGCTTTCATGACTAGCAGGCGGTATTAGACTTGCAGACTAGACGCACTGGATGATGGGCAGAGCCACTGATCTGTAGGCGGGGCTTAGAGTGGGCTGTGACCTCCACCCAAATTGCGTCTAATGCAAATATTGTGCAACAATTTTTTTTTTCGCGGAGTGTTTATTTGAAAAAGTATGTGTCCCATCTATGCCCTTTAAAAAAAACTTTTTTTCCCCCTTGCAGTGTTCCTTTAAAGGACACACGCAAAGAAAAAAACATTTTTTTAAACAGCTTAGATGGAAAAAGGATATCATAAAACAATTTTACAACCAAGAAAAAAACTTTTTAGAGCTATATTTACGGCGCTATACGAATTTGTAGTTGGCGCCGGCAAGCGCCGCAGAAAAGTGGCCCTTGTTTATCATGTGACGGGCCCATATTTGTCACGTGGTGCTTGCACTCTTTCGGAAGCTTCCTCTGGCCTCTAAAAGTAACTTATTCATCTTTCTGTGAAGTATAACAAGAAACTAAAATGAATAAGTAACTTTTAGAGCCCAAAGGAAACTCCTGAAAAAGTGCAAGCAGACGTGATAGACCTGTGTGCCGGTCAGACGACGGCGGCGGCGCCCCGAAGCAGACAAACTTGTGCGGCGGCAGCGACAGTGGCGTGGAGCAACGCGTTGAAGCGGCGTTCGCGCAACGCTCGGCGTGCGGGCCTACCACGTGACCAGCGGCGGCTCCCGCGAGCGCCAAGTACAAATTCGTATAGCGCCGTAAATATAACTTTAAAAAGTTTTTTTCTTGGTTGTAAAATCGTTTTATGACATCCTTTTTCCATCTAAGCTGTCTAAAAAAAAATTTGTTTTCCTTTGCATGTGGTCTTTAAGGTCAGATAGGGTCCTTGAGAAACCCCTTTAAGGGGCAGTGCAACGATTTTTATGTTGAACGAATTTGCAGCTTGTATTTCTTTATCTTGCATATCTTTGCATAAGTGAGAAAGAGAAAACACTTCACCTTCTGCCGAAGCAGTGCGATTCTGCTGCATAATTGCTGAGGAAATAATTGAATAATTCCTGATCTGTAGCCACTTTTGACGATCATGGGAACCACGGTGTGACGTCATTGAGGGGAACACCGTTTCGAGTTAGTGAGATGCACAATTTCCTGCTCAATTTAAGGTTAAGCTTCAAACATTAGTAACTGCCTTAAAAGCCTCGTATTATCACCAGATGTATTTTAGGTCTTTGTGACGCGTGCAGTCAGCAGCAGTACATACGGTCGGTGGCTCCGAGCAAAGTGCCGGCCTATAGAACCCCAGGTGGCAGGTCGGATTCCCAGCCGAAGTGTCCACAACTCGATGGAGGTTGAGAAGGCACGCAGCTGAACTTTAACATGAAACCGAGCCTTCGGTTGCAAATCAAAAGATCCCCAGGTGGTCAAAATGACTCTTCAGTCCTCTGTTGGGGTGTGCCAAATGCCCTTCGTCGGTTTAGCGCATAAAACCCCTGGATCTGATCCTCGCCGTGGCACGTGCAGACTCAGGAAGTGTGCCTTGGTCAGGCCGCCGGGCGGTTCATTTCAGGGAAAAACCGTTGTTTCAGGTGGTGGCCCACGCGCGAGAGCCGAGCGAACCGCACGTGGACCTGGCCATCCTGGGACTGGCGAACCACTTTGTGGGGAACTGCGTGTCCTCCTTCAGCGCCTTCGCCAAGAGGCACAGGGACGTGCTGGGGCTGTCCACCTCCTTCTGGGCCTTCCCGCCGCCGGCCAAGCCACACCCACACCAGGAGCTCTAAGGGAGGACGTCCTTTATAGAGGGAAAGGGCTGGGGTCGGGGAGGTGCGGTGCCCAGAACGCTTCTTCGTCTGGCGTGTTTAGCGTTTCGCACCTCCCGCGCGTCGAAAGCGGCCCCCAAGAAGCGACAAACTATGCCGCGGGTGCCGCCGCGTCGTGCCGTTGGATGTCGCAATCCCGGCGGTTGGTCATACAGGTTTCGGCGAAAAAGAGGAGCAAACGTAAGTCTCGCCGTCATCGTGGCGTCTAATTTCCTGGCTGCCAAAGCTTCTGCGAACTGTCCAACTGGAGAACAACCTACGGCGGAGTGAGTGTTGGTCATATTCACCTCCGCCGATGTGCTACATCCAGGATCACGGCGAACAACGGCAGGGCACGAGGGTGACGTTGTCAGGTGAAGACCGAGGGACCGCCGACGAAGGCCCGGTAAACACACTGGTCGGAGATGCCGCATTTCCCAAAGCTCGCCGCCGGAGAAGGGAAGGCTCCATTCGGTTGGAAGAACTTGCGCGCTGCTCGTGAACGCGGCCTTGTTGAAAATCAGGCCAAATGCTTTTTTTTTATGTCCGTCCAGTAGTGTGAAACGCGGGTAAAAGCAGTGAAAGAGAACAAGAACCACACGAAAATAGAAAGTGCGAAAGACAAGGACAAGTGGAAGTCTAGACAGGACACAAGCGCTTCTCTTGACACTTACGGATTTTGAATAGCACTTACGAATAAAGAACTTGTCCTTCGTAGTCTTCCACTTCTCCTTGTCCTTCGTGCTTCCTATTTTCGTGATGTTTAACCAACTAGGCCAACAAATTATTTTGCTAGAGAGCAAGAACCGCGTTGCCCCCCTCGACAATCGGTGATTGTAGCGGTGCAAGCGCCTGCGTTTCGTTTATGTTGCACGCTAGCTTTGTCTTTGCCTCAATCGTGCGGCCTAACGCTTGCGGCAAACGTTCCAACCGATGCCTGCTCGCATCTCCAGGAGTGCCCTTTAGGCATATTTTGCGTCGTCATTGCTCCGTGAACCAAGGTATAGCTCGCGAGAACTGGCGTGCGTCGGACCCTCCCACCAATCGTTAAGTGTTTGGCGCCACTGACCACGCGTGTTTGCTGGTACAGTGTTGGCGGTTTGAATCTTCCAATTTAATGGAGGTCGATTTAATGAGGTTTTGCCATACGCGTGTGACGTGACACTTTCCAGCCTGCATTGAGGGCCACTACAAAAATTAGAGAACTTCGATCGCGACTGGCCGGGTGTCGTCATGAACGCCAACGTCTATCTACAAAGCCCATTTGGCACGGTCCAAGCACCCTACCTGCTTTTTAATAACTTGACTGTCCTATGGTCCGTAGCTTTCTGAGGTGGCGTACTACTTATCTCTGGCCCTTTCTTGTTTCTGCTTCCCTTTTCTGTGCTTCAAAAGCTTCCTGCTTGAAACCAGGCTCATTGTTTATTGCCTAATGCTGGGTTCATACGAGCACGCATACATACTCCTATGCGTTTGTGGAGTGAAATTGGAGTGTCGGTGCAAATGTGCCCGATCACTGTGGTTATTAGATGCAATAGCATCTCTGAACTCATCCTACGCATTTTCACGTTTGCATGTCTGTGTTTGACCAACCAAGCAGGTGGCACGCATCTGTTGTATATGTAGCTACTACTTCAATTATGCGTTCAAGGGGTAATGCACCCAACAAATGTGATATTTGTGTTTTGCGAATATTCAAACTTCTGAATAGTATTTACGAATAATACACCATTCAATATTAACTTGGAAACTAATTGCGATATTCACGTGTTTTGAGGCGTCGATTGAGGCTTATCAGCCTTGTCGAGTGTGCTTTTCACGGAGCATTCGTGCACTGCGGAAAAGCAATACTTGCGGGCTACGTGGGTATTGTCGATGTGCGCTGCCAAAAGTGTTGTCGTGGTCGGCCTTTAGAGATGTGCCGAATGCTCACTATGACGTCTTGATTAGGATGAATTCTACTTCCATTAATGGAAATAAGAGAGATGTCGAGGTCACCCTTGATGGTCTTGTTTTAAGGTCACAATCGCTACAAGCTTTCACGGTACTCTTTACACGGACCATCGAAAATTGCCGTTGGCAATGGATAATACAGGTCATGATGTCTCAGATAGGAACCATAAAGAAGTACTAGCTGCACAGCTGGCTTCCTCGTATGGGAGCCAGCTCTGCAGCTGGCTCCCATAAGATCGGTAAGAAGAGCACTCAACGTGGCTTACCCGCTGCGATTATTATAGCATGTGTTAGGCGGCGATGTCTTGACAACCCACATTCGTCATTCGTGCATGTTTTGTTGTAAAGCACAGCTTTTAGGCGCCCGTTTTCGGCTTGAGAGGCGTAGGCATTACCGTGCGTTGCATTATGGGACATATCCTATAATGACGTCACGAGGGTCACGAGCGACGTCACTCGTAACTGCACGTTGCATTATGGGACGTTTCCCATAATGACGTCACGAGGGATGTCACGAAGGTCACTTGTGGTGGTTGCGACCTTTACAGTGAAGGTCACGTGAAGGTTGCGACCTTTATGAGTGATGTCTCGAGGGTCATTAGAGCCACGAGTGACGTCACGAGGGAGGGATGGGGAGGAAGGGAGGAGAAAGAGGAGGAAGAGGGAGGAGAGGATATAGAGGAGGAGGAGGTGCATACCCTCCTCATACCATCCCCTCTTCCACCTCAAGAGCTGTGCTCTAATTCGGGGTTACAGGGAGTTGTAAACGACTTTCATTTATTTTTTGTCAAATTTGAAATTAATATTTTTGATTAGGAAAGTTGCAACAAATTTGTTGTTGACTTGCCACAATTCATATATACAGTCATTAAAATTAACCGAGCTTAGAGGTGGACGAGTGGAAGGTTGGGAACAGCCTTATTGAGTTCGGCTGAATTTTTGTGCACGATGGTGAATGGCTTGGAGAAACTACTTTATATTTCATAAAAAAATATCTGTGCAAAACTACCGTTCGCTTCGAATTTGCTTTGAAGGCCACTATTTGCTAATGCCTGGATCATATCATCTATTAGTTTCTGAATTGCAAATATCAAGGGTGTTATGATTATACACAAATATCAATGAAGTAAGAAACATTTGAATTGCAGCACTGCTACAACAAAAGTTGCTGGCTGGTTGCAGGAGGCCCGTCTGCAGGAAGTAGACTGTTTGATCAGAAAATTGTGTGAATTAGTTTTAAAGGTGATGCAGTTACCGAGGGTTCTGATGTCATATCGTTAATAAGCATACCCTGCTGTTTAGGCAGTTTTTGGAGACGAATTGGGTAAATGCATGCATTTTTGTCTCTTTGATATAAACAATTCACATTACAGACAACTTTTCTGGAGGGGAAGTGTCCACTCCATATTCATAATATGTTTATATATATATATATATATATATATGTAGTGAGAGAAAATATATTTAAACTTCAGCAATGCTTCAACGAAAGGCGTTGGTTTGCCATAGAATGTAGACGGATAAAAAAATTCTATGAATTGTTTTAAATGTGGTAGGAGACTTATGTACGTTCACAATAAATATTCCTAAAATTTCCATATCAGATCCTAGGCAGCATAATAAAAAAAAAAATTTATATGCAGTAAAAGACGGTGCAAAACGATATCACAATTTAACGACAAACTGTGCAGCGATTCCAACATTATTTCTTTTCATCAGTTTCTCTAGGTCGTTTTCAATTGCTCACATGTTCAGTTGGCTTTACACCAGGCATCGCTTTCCTGTCTGCAGCATCTTTGGACCTGCTTGTTGTGAAACTCTTCTAAAACTTGCCTCATCAGAGTTAGCCTTTTTAAAGTCTTGCTGCTTCCTGTCACTATAAGTTCTAAGCTTTTTTTTTTTTTGTTTCTGTTTCCAGCCATTCTATGTTATGTGCCATAGAATGTCTCAAGATTGTAGGGCTTTGTGATCCATCATTGGTGTTGTAGAGTAGGAAGGTCCCATATTTGGCTCTACTGCTGGCTCAATCAGTGATGCAAATGTGCTCATATGGTAGTGCACTCTTATTTCAATAAGTAATGTTCTGTCCTATGTTTTATGTTTTTATTCTTTTGAACTGGAGTTACGTAATATTACAGTGTGCACATCCCAGTCTGAAGGACAATTACTGCAGTGCCAAGTATACATTTATCTATACATGACAGCAGTTTTATCAGTTGAAAAAACACTTTGAATGATGCACGAAATTAAATGACGTGCCTGTATTAAAGCTGTTACCGCATTGGAATGTTTTACGTGCTCAGTAACTACTGCTACGTGCAAAATGCTCAGTAATTCATGATACCAAGATGTGAATGTATCACGTGTCCGTTTACTTTTTTTTTTAGTCCTGTATGCTGTGTCAGTATGGTAAAAGCATTCCTTTGCGAAATGATCGCTGCAGAGACACGATTGACCTGGCTTCCAGTTCTCTGGGTGTTGTGAATCAACCATTCCAGAACTGGGCACTCTTCACTGAAACCTCGAAAGACCTTTTGTGGAATAGCGTTCATATGCCTGCTGCGGCTGCAGCATAATGCTCAAGCCAACTATTTTGGTATGAATACTTTTAGGATTTTGAATAAATACTGCCATGCCTGTGATATGAGCAAACCTTTCTTTGGCTGTGGCAGTTTGATGCTGAACAGACTGGCGTTTGTTCTGGATTTTCGCGTGGAGAAGTTGGTTGAACAGCTATAGCTGTTCAACCAACTTCTCCACGCGAAAATTTCGTTGTAGTATCCCTTTAAAGGGATACTACAACGAAATTTCGGCACTCATTTTTTTGTCTATATTTGTTCAAAGGAGCAGTATCACATCAAACATACCAATATTTCGTTAAAAATGTCTCGGAAAGGAATTTTAAAACGAATTAAACGATTAGCAAAGAGCACCTGGTGGATGTCGCTAACGCCTCGCTTGTAATGCCCGTCTAGGAACCTTGACAGGTAGTGACGATAACTGTCTTGCTTCCGGCCACGACGAAAGAAGAGGGGAAGGAGGAACTCCCCTCTTCCCAAGAATCCCTTTTGTGTGTCGCAGAAGTCGCTATTGCCCCCCTAGAAGATTATAGAAGATTAACCCGTCACTCAAAATTCGTACAAAAGCAGCCGCTTCGGTGGCTGGGACGACTAGGCCATCCTCTCTACGTCAGCCTCGCCGTAGCTTTGCTCGTCTTGAGACGACCTACGTCACGATTGCGTTGGATGTCACGTGCTCTAAGCTGGGCCTTCTCCGAGCGCTTGCCAGAGTGGGCCGTTTATAACGAAAAATACAGCCACCAGGATCAAAATACAAACGTGCGATTGTCATTTACGGATATTGTGGATCATATTCAACCTATTTTTGAACACGACGGGAATATTTCAAATTTCGTTGAAGTATCCCTTTAAAGGGTTACTACAACGAAATTTCGGCTCTCATTTTTTTGTCTATATGTGTTCAAAGGAGCAGTATCACATTAAACATACCAATATTTTGTTAAAAATGTCTCGGAAAGGAATTTTAAAACGAATTAAACGATTAGCAAAGAGCACCTGGTGGATGTCGCTAACGCCTCGCTTGTAATGCCCGTCTAGGAATCTTGACAGCTAGTGACGGAGCTTGTCTCACCTCCGGCCACGACGAAAGAAGAGGGGAAGGAGGAACTCCCCTCTTCCAGAGAATGCCTTTTGTGTGTCGCAGAAGTCGCTATTGTCCCCCTACAAGATTATAGAAGATTAACCCGTCGCTCAAAATTCGTACAAAAGAAGCCGCTTCGGTGGCTGGAACGACTAGGCCATTTTATCGACGTCAGCCTTGCCATAGCTTTGCTCATCTTGAGACGACCTACGTCACGATTGCGTTGGATGTCACGTGGTCTCCGCTGAGCCTTGTCCGAGCGCTTGCCAGAGTGGGCCGTTTATAACGAAAAATACAGCCACCAGGCCCAAAACACAAACGTGCGATATTCTTTTACGGATATTGTGGATCATAATCAACCTATTTTTGAACACGACGGGAATATTTCAAATTTCGTTGAAGTATCCCTTTAAGCATCGCTGCACAAATGTCACATATTGACATTTATTAATTTTGTTAAATTCATTATAGAAACAGAGTTTGGGACAATGAAGTACTACGTTCTCATAATTTTAATAAATAATAATAAATTAGTTAATATGCTGGAAGACGCCAGATCGCTAAAGAAAAAAATTGGGTTGACAAACTTTTGTTAGCCAGGCAAATAGAAATGCGACAATTAGTGATATATGAATATTTCAGAAGTGTTAATGTAAAACTAAATACGTGCGCACTAATATGACCGTACTCAGGTACAAACACCGTGGTATTAAAATTATTTACTTTGAGTTGAACTTATAATGGCTCAGAATTATATAAGAACAAAATCGGGGCTCCCGAATCACTTCTGGAAGGTCAGTCTCCCGAATGCTTACGCAAATAATATCCGAAATAAAACCAACAAGAAATAAACTTGAAAATAATACAAACCTACAAATATGCGACAGTACTGGAAGAGGGACATAAAAAACTGGCAAAAAAGAACGACAAATAACTTTATAGACAATTAAAATTCTCAGCTGAAAGCTGAAGCTAAATTTTTTTATCTTTCAATATTTTGAAATGTTTACGCTATTGTTTTCTGCTCGCACCCGGCGCTACATGGCGCCGCTGAGGTAGGCTCTAAGGATGATTGTCTCTGGGCCTGCAGTGTAAGCAACAAAACAACAAACATTGCAACGCTATTTAGGTTGTGCGTGGTGGTTGAGTGTGTGGCTTTGCGCAAGTGTTTCACCGAGAGCTAGGCCGCTTGTGCGAACACTGAGGCTTTCAGACAGGTTCTGTCGGCGTCACAAAGTTTTGCTAAAGTATTTGTAATTGTGCCTGAAATTTTGCAATTACTGACGCCAGAAAGTAATTAAATTACAATTCCTTTTAGCTGAAAGTAATTAATTACAATTACAAATCACCTAGAAAAGTAATTAAATTATAGTAATTACTGTAATTTAATTACTACCCAAGTATGTTGCTGGCGTTATATTGTTCGCAGGCACAAAGACCGATTGAAAATATTCATTAAAGATGCATGCTTTTTGATGGGCAGATATTTCAGACTGTTAAAGAAAACAATAAGGGGAAAGGGGGCATGGTCGAGCTTATTTTAATCTGAAATTATTCAAGCATATGTGTCGCTACTGTCGCTCTTCACTGCATAAAAGATCGCGTAGATGGTCATTGTCGGAAACTCGTCAGAAGGCGCTACTTGTCACATGCTTAGTGGTTCGGAAGTTCAAAGCTATGTCTTTTTGACCTAAATAACTAAGCCATTGGTAAAAAAAAGGCAATAAATGCAGAAATAAAAAGCTGAAAAAACAAACTATCAAGAACCTGCCAGCTGGTTAATAAAACATTTTTCTCACTACGGAATATCATGAAAACATCACTCACAGCACATACAGGGTGATTCAAGGAGACGCCAGGATCTTTAAATCGACCGCAAAATTCGTTTTTTTTGTGCTGCGTTGCCCACAGATGGTGCTTTTTTTTTTTTTTTGTAAAATTTGCAAATAGTAGTGAATTTACCCGAGAAAAAAAGTAAAGAAAGAAAAAGGCTTGGCTCCTATGGAAACGCAGCGACGCCAGCGGTCTTCAAACAACACGGCGCCGTTTCGCACGGGAGACAAGAGATGGCGCAAGTGGTCGCGACGCCAACTGCCGCCAACGAACGAGCATACGACGCCGAGAGCCGACCTCTTTAGCAGACAAGGAACTGCAGTTCCTTGTTGATACTGCGCCTGTTTTTATTTCTGCGACTGTCGCCGCCTGCGGAACGCGCGCCGCTTTTGAGTCGAAAAGATCGTCTGCTAAAAACGCCGGCTCTCGGTGTCGTATGCTCGTTCGTCGGCGGCGTTCGTTGCGCCATCTCTTGTCTCCCGTGCGAAACTGCGCCGTGTTGTTAGAAGACCGGTGGCTTCGCCGCGTTTCCATAGGAGCTAAATCTTTTTCTTTCTTTACTTTTTCCTCAGGTAAGTTCGCTCTTTGCAAATTTTACAAAAAAAAAAAAAAAAGTGCACCATCTGTGGGCAACGCTGCACAAAGTCGTAGCGCGATAGTGGCGACCGAATTTTGCGGTCGATTTAAAGAGCCTGGCGTCTCCTTGAATCACCCTGTCGCCATGTGACACAAATCACGGTGCCTTATAGCCAGTTCTCCATTTATTTTCAATACAAACCTTTGAAAGCGCATTTACCAAACCTGAAAATTCATTGAAGCGTTTACAAAACCCGGTAAAACAGCGACGAGCTTCATCGGTTAGGCTTAACGTGTTTACCACCGTGAGATGAACTAGAGCACTATATAGCTCCTACGGAGCAGAGTAGCGCAATCCTTTGAACCCCGTGTTTTGCCGACAACATGGCCGACAGAGCAGCTCGGCGCGAGTCACGTGGTACTCAGGGTTCCAAGAGGCGGCCCGCCCTATGGGAGAATACATGGAGATCGACATAACACGGCTGATTAAAAAAATAACGGCGAGTTCACACTTTTCAAAACTAGCCTGTCGTGAAGTTAGTAAAGCGCTAAACACTTTATCAAAGTTTTAATAATATCGGATGCGTGTGCAAATGTTGAGAAGGCAATTTCCAGGGCAATGGCGTTTGAAGCAGACGATTTTTGCTCGCAGCGGAGATGGGCTTTTCGGGTTGGCCGGAGCGGGTCACGTGAATGGTGTGACGTCGCCGTGTCGTCTGCTGCATGATGCCGCGCAGGCAATTTTTTAAAAAAAGTTACGTCCTTGTATGACACAAAACTTATCGCATATTATTCTAAAATGTTTCATTATTATGTCAAAAATGATTTCCATTCCGCACATCCCCACAAAACTGAAGAAACAACGATTTTCTCACGTTCTCCATGCATTTCTGACCGCAGTTGGAACCTCCGGGCGTTCGCCGCTAGTCGCCGAGAGACGGCGTTCTAGATTGCGCTACTCTGCTCCGAAGGAGCTATATAGTGCTCTAAGATGAACGACATCGTAAAAGCACAATACTTCCCCCGTTGAGTTTTCCTGTCGTGGTAATAAGCGATTGTCGTCCAGTATGTTGTAATCCTCGGACAGTCGAACGCACAAGCACTTTGTAAAACCAGATATAGTTTTTTTTTTGTTTTTTTTTTTTTTACTGCAGAAATAAACTACGCTTTGCCTAACACTCATTCTCTGCCCAAAGGTAGCGCTAGAGGTCACAACCAGGTAGAGGTACCTTACAACCAGATGCCAAAGTTTCAGCCCGAACGGGCACCTTATTCAAAAGTTATAAGTGATTTTCTGAAAATTTCAATGGGAAAATGGAGCCCATTTTTGCCCGTTTTCGGTTTCTGGTGCCATAGAGCCCCGTGTATTCGAAAACTCCGTCGGCCACCATTTTTCCATTGAATTTTTCAGGAATTCAGTTATAACTTTTGAATAAGGTATCGGATCGGACTGAAGCTTTGGCATCTGGTTGTAACCTCTACGCTACTTTTGGACTGAGAATAAGCGTTTAAGGATGGCTAATTAATTTTTTTACACTTTGTACTTTGTCGTTATGCGGGACCCCGCTGACCACTGCATGCCGGCCATCGTCAACAAAACCACGTGATCCCCGTT